AACGCTCATGGTTAAGCGTAACAGACTTTGCCGGGGATGTAACTTGAAACTGCGGCAGCAACACATCTCCTCAGGTTTGCATAGTTCTGTCTAAATTGCAATTGTGAATTGCGATTGTTATGGACCAAATATCTAGTCAGTGAATGTGCATTATGTACTGACGTTCGCAACTTTTTGAAGAGAGAGGCTAATTTTGTCACGTTTATTGCAACCTTGTTTTTGGATGAACCGCTTTCTACAGTAAACTTAAGAGTGCTACGTATAGACAGAGTACGCAGTGCACGGGTTGAATCTTGGAAATGGAACGTTTAAATTTCTACGAGTAAATCTACCGTATAAGACAAGTCCATTTAATGTGCAAAGGTAAATTTCTTGAATGCTCTTGCACGATTGTTTCAGAAGGTCGAGGTGATATAGTTAAAAGTTTATTAAATTTGTGCTCTACCTAGGTACATTCAACTACATTACAGGTAGTGCTCTATGACTCTCAGATATACGTGAAAGTTCTGATTATGCAAATTTTGTTGCTATCGGTACAGAGAAAATTGCTATTTGCCGATACCTACATATTTTTACTCACATATCGCGTTATACAGTTCTTCATGCCCAGCATGCGTGTGAACGTATCTAAAACGAAAAGCCTAGTGTTTCTCGTTCTCCTGCCTGTTGCTCTCTTAAGATACACTGTGAAGCAGTGGAACAGGAGAAGTTCAAGTATCTCGGGGTCATATTTAGTGGTGGCAGAAAATTTGACGAAGAGATCGACCAGCGGATTGGAATAGCCAGTCGCATTCTGCGTTTACTAACTAGCCATTGTGACTAAAGCAGAGCTAAGACTACGCTCTCAGTGTTCATGTGAATCTTAATCTTCGTCAGGCTTCATCTCCATGCTTACTTAGGTCATTACTAAAACCTGTGATCCGAATACGGATGAAAAGGCTTTTTAAGATGAGTCACTGGCCTTATGTTCTGGACATTGTCCGGAGAACAGAAGCCCATCAGAACATGTGTACAACGCCCGTCTCCCGTTTCTTCGTACTGAGAAGTCACAGCCGCGATGGTTTGGAAACGTTTTGCGAATGTCTCCAGAAAGGCGAAACAACTACTGCTTACCCAGGTAACTGGTAGGAGACCCATTGGAGGCCAAGATTAACCTGGTGCAAATATATAGAACCAGTCTGTTCTAGACTCCTCTTTGCCGAAGCTTAGACTCTAGAACAGGATCGGGAACTTTGGAAGCACTGTCTGACAAGTCGGCCTCAGCGACATGAAACTAGAAGCGGTCACGGAAGATGAAAATACTGTTAATACGCCATTTCGCATCCACGATGTGTACTTTCAGTTTTTGTCATTTTTGAACAGGCTGTGTCGCAGGAGCTCAGCACTGCACAATTCACATCTTTATGTAATCATCACTTTTCAGCAATAAGTACGAAGTTGTTTCCTCATTGTTCCACAGTACCACAAGTTCCCTTGTCGTAAATACTGTTGGCCGAGCATTCGCCGGCGAAATACTAGAATGCGACATCCGTCGTGTCATGATCGATTTGTCCGTTTTCTGCGTTCGAACGGTCACCCGGCTTCCCGCAATCGTCAGAGCGTTTCTTCTGCTGTAGATGCCTGGTACACAGTTTTACAACGATATTATTTAAATTGTTTCCGCCGTGTTTGAGACTGTCGGCTAGAATGTTATCTGCGCCATAATCTTTTCATCCTCCGTCTAAAACAAACCTCTATCAACTTTCTCTTGTAAAATTGCAGCCCTATCACCTGCCATTTTTTGTACGATAAACAATAATATCAACATGTAAGGTCCAGCAATTGTTACTGGATGGTCTGCACTTCTTCTCATCACATTTTCGCACGTTATTCTGTTTAAAATCATTTTCTAAACTATTAATAAACTAATATTATCTCAGACATCTTTTCTACATTTTTTTATACTCCATTCCTGCTCCAGCTCGAAGCCTACTTTTCCTTGCGCTATATTGTGTATGAACCTGCACTCAACCACATTCATAGAAGAACTTTACAGATTTTTTATCTTTTTCGAAGTAACTATAGTGTTGCTGTTTGAAACGCGTTCCGGTATAGTCGTTTCTGCGACTTACCTCCTTTGCACGCTCTTTCACGCATTTGATGAAGTTGTCTTATTTGACACTCAAACTATCATTGAATTTCAACTCACTGTTAGAATTTTCTCAAAAAAATGTCACAGGTACAATTCTCCACTTTTGGATTAGAATTGCGTCGTGCTAAACTATCTAATACGATCTGTAGCAGTCACTGTTCTACAAATACGGTGATCGTTGGTGATGTTGAAACGATTCACAATCCAGACATCTTGCAGAAGCTTTGTTTTGCCTGGTAAAAACAGTCCGTTTCATTGGCGTATTCAAAATAGGCGTTTCAGTGTCCGTCATCGGCTCCCTCTTTCTACAGAAAACTGTACATTCGATGAAGTGTACCAAATGTTCACGTTTGCATTTATAAGAGGGCTCTTATGCCTTCGTTCACTTTCCTTGCTCTGATGGTTTCGTTGAAATCATCAATTATGAACGTTGCACGCACTTTGAATTTAGCTGTTAGCTTTCCAATTTATTCGTAAAAGTCCTCAATGTCGACTGTCCTGAGACTGCATTTAATTCACGAGATAGTATGGTTTTTACGCCTTAATTTTTCTGAATATTTAGCAAAAAGAATCCAAAGCGATTCGAAAGAAATTATCGTCTTGGAATCAGCGGTCGGTGTCCATTCCTTTAATACAATGTATCTAGTACCACGGACGCTTCGTGGAATTGTGTCTGCAACGGACTATAGACTTGATCCTTTCTTTTCGCCTTCTGAGACTGATCTTTATGGCGAGTTTTCCGTTCGTCTCACACAGGCCTAAAATGTCGCACTTTAGATGTGGGTTAATGGACGCCATGTTCCCAATGCAAACATTCGACAGTAAAACATTCTGATCTAGGTAACTGTCAGATTAGCGGAACACATCCTATCTTCTGAGACTCTTAGCACGTCCTTACCAACTAAAATAGCTAGAAAAAATGTAAACTTTTGATGACGGTCACAAGATCATGACCCTCGGCTCAATCGAAACGACATTTCTGACTTTGTCTTTTACCGATTCTAACTGAATGAGACACGTTTCACAGACACTTCGAGATGGCGGCTTCAGCGAAGATGCACAAGCCAACGAAATACTGTACACAATCGTGCCTAATTCTACTATTCTTAATAGTATTTCTTCAGCGCATTTCAAGAACAGGAAACCCATATTCTAGCGTTACACTTATGCACAGAGTAAAATTTCAGCACATTTCAACAATCTGAGGATAGGTCGTTAGTCATAGAATAATGCCTGATTATCAGTTTTAAGCCGTCAGTTCATTTTCACAATTACTATGACAGCTTTCTTATACCACTGGGAGTCACAAGCTGCTACAGGGACGGACTTATACTAGTGTACCCGCGTATCTCCTTTGTATATAACATTAAGCTCGTTGCGTTACCAGAATTTGAGCCAAGTCACCACGGAACAAGGACAACGTATCTACTGGTCGTCACTGTCGACGTGATGACTCCCGCCTACCTGCTGCTTGTGGTTCTGCATAGTTATGCTTCATTTCGTTACGAGAACAAGAGGCCCAGTTGCCACAGAACAACAATAATGCAGTAACTTCATTCAACAAGTTCACTTGGACTTGTGTCTTCAACGAGCCTTAGAGTAGATCCAGTACTTTCCCCTTTTGAGACTAATCTTTACTACCAATTCTCTTCTCGTTCGACTGAGGGCCAAAATGTTGCACATCAGAAGAGTTAGCTACATATCCTACCAGACGTCTTACTGATTTCAAAATGATTATCAAATTGCTGTTCAGAAATTACTGCTAAACGCCTTTGGTTATTGCTTTGAGCAGAAGTCAGAGTTCAACTAAGAATAAAGCTACTCAGTGACCAGTGCAGATGGCGAATAACTGAAATTTTAAGGGAAAAATCTTAAGGCTGATTGTTGCACCTTTACTTTTAAGAAACAAAGCCGCGACACCCTGGTCCGTAGTCGGGTACGAATCTTTTTAAAAAGTTTTGATTTCGAAGTTCAAACCCTGAAGTAACGTACTCAGGCGAAGTGTCTACTGCTTTAACACCAGCTATTAATATCAGACAAAGTGATACGCGGATTGAGGCAAAAGGTTCTAACGCCACAGGTACATCGGATTCGTTAAAACCTTCCTTAAGGATCTGTGGTTTATCCCTACCAGTGAGGAACCTCGGCTCCAACAGCACCTACTTACAAAAGCAGCATCCATGTCATGCATAGCCTTACGTTTCTACATTCTTTCCACATACAAAAACTCATTCATATAGCACAGAAACTGACGCCCAAATGACAGCATAAAATTACCTTTCAGATTCCAGTTTCGGATACAGACGATAAAGCCAACAAAGCTAGACACAGCAGAGAGCTAGAAGAGTACTAAAAATATATTCTACTAAGGTCATAAGTTAACCTAATGCTCTTCCTAAACATGGAAGAAGTTCTCAATAGGCGGTCTTCAGAGTTGTAATAACCATGAAGAACATATT